ACAGACCTGGAACCATCGCACTTCGAGAAATCCGTCGTTACTAGAAGAGTACTGAACTTTTGATTCGTAAACTTTCATTCCAGCGTTTATACCCACCACTTCTTACTCATTTACCTAATTGATTAAGTACCTACTTACCTACTTACCTACTTACTTACTTACTACTTACTTGCTTACTTACTTTTAGGAATGCATTGATTTGTATAAATAATTAATGTTGAAATTTTATTTATTTGAATATATAAATATTGGTATAAAGGGACATCGAATACATATAGGTCACACAAGTCAGTGGATTTGTATGTGGGTTGTGATACTGCTTGGGTGGTTTTCTTAGGAGTCTACACTTGGAGGCCTCGACCTAAAGGTCTAATCCACAAGGCAGTGGAACAACATAAGGAGATGCAGTCCCATGGAAGCCAGTGTCCAACAATAGGTCCATACACCGTTTGTTCTCTTTGGATCCTCGAGTCCATGTGTACGATTAGTTTGGAATCAGAGATTTTCAACTACCATTGATAGAACTGTATATCTACCAACCCGGTTAAAGCACCGGACATAGGCTTTTCATCCTCTTATTTAGGTAAGCAAGAAGGCAGTAAGTACGACTTCTCTGATAATGGCTGTATATGCATGGTCATTTGAGAGCATTTGGAGAGAGAGAACTAACTTTCCTCACCATTGACCGTACCATAGCATTTGAGGGCAATAATTTGCAATGAGACATTTCTATAAAATAAAACACCAAAAAAAAAATATAACTTCTAGGAGCTTTCAACAATTCCTTTGAAATGATATTCAAAGCTAATAAAATGCTGAAAAATCTTTGACAAATTAATGTTCTTTAAAAGCTTCCTTAATGATAATTTATATTCTTGTTATCTGATTAAACAACTTTCTAATTGTAATACACAATTTATCTTACCTTTCAGAAGCGTCTGAACTCTCCTGAGGTCATACATAAATAACCTTGTTCTCCATACATAAACTACCTTCATATCTTCTACTATTTGATTTCTTTTACTTTAAATTTCAATAACAAACTACTAGGAACTTGAACGAAGAAGTCTATGTCTAAACATTTAAATGAAAGATGTATCAATTACAGATTACAGTTGAGATTGATAACTATTTTATGATGAAAATCTATTAATTTGTGGATTGGTTGAAGTTAGACATTAACGTCGTTGGATGTCGGATCAGTGGTCTAATGGATAAGAGGTCGTGCACGAGACTGATAGGTCCTGAGTTCGAATTTCGCGGGGGCCGGCATCGTGGATAGCACACTGCTGAGGCAGTTCCATACTATGATGAAACAATCATCCAGTGCTTCCAAGTTTTCCATGGTGATCTAGCTTTAATTGACTCATGATTTCAATTATTGAATATCTGTCCATTATAGAATATTGATGATACTTTTAATGATTCTAGTTAGTAGCATAAAAATGGCTAATGATATTAGCTGGTACAGAATGAATTTAGTTAAATGGCAGATAATACACAGATTAAAAAGTAACATGAAGTTATCTAAAATAATCGATATTGTTACTGGAATCATTAATTAGTGTACATATTACCTTCTGTTTAAAAAGATTCATTTTTCTTATTACAGTTACAATCTTCCAACTGCTGATGTTAAGGACTCTGTTAATTGATCAGTCTCTTTTAGGTTATATGCATTTTAAGCATATATATATGTAGACAAAGATGGATGATGGCTAGCAGTGGAATCCTGGACGAATGTTTCGTTCCATCTGGACTCATCAGCTGAACGTACATGCATCTCAGAGTTGATGTTCACTTCGATACTGGAATCCAGTACTAACCGCCTCAAACGCCATCACATTATCCAGTCCTGGATTCGACTGCTAGCCACTATCCATCTTTACTCATAATACTTATGAATTAAGTCAATATCAAGGCAATACGGACAGGATGCATATATGCCAACAAGAGACTGATCAATTACAGTCCTTAGCATCAATGAGAAGATTCAAGTAAACAATACCAATTGAATCTAAACTTCATCTCATTGCACAAGAAAGTGGCTATCAGGACACAAAAAATACGTGGAGTTTGTACCGAACGGTAGCGTACTGGGTTCGAGTTCTAGAGTGAATATCAACTCTGAAATGCAGATACATCTAGGTGACGAGTTCCAACTAGGACGAAACGTGCGTCCTAGATTCCACTGCTAACCACTATCTATCTTTACTTATAATACTTATGAAATTAAGTCAATATCAAGGCAATACGGACAGGATGTATATATGCCAACAAGAGACTAATCAATTGTAGTCCTAAACATCAATCAGAAGATACAAGCAAATAATTGAATGTGTATATTTGTTTAGCAATACTTAAAGTCTCAAGAGAATAAACAATCAAATAAGAACAGCCAAAGTTATACAAAATGAAATAAGAATAAATAAATTGAAACACCTTTGGATTAAATCTAATCTTTCTATTCAGTTCGAAGTACAGATATACATTGTACATCATACATACACACTATATGCTAACAATCCCAACTCTCAAACATATGAAAGTAAACTAACGTAAATATAATGAAAGATAGACAGACAAATAGAGAGACGTCTCAAAGGAGAAACCATAAGATGTAGTTGCCTAAAGCGATCGTCTTAAGGTAAACACACATACACACACACACACCTCATTTACATTTGTAACTGTTTGCATAATTTTCTCTGACAGAGAGAGAGCGAGAGAGCGAGAGCGGGAGAGAGAAAAGAGGGGGGAGAAATTTATACGCTGATTATTAAATCATGCTTAATTATTGATAAAACATTTGTAATTTAAACAGTTGAGACCATGAAAACCACCATGAGAAACCTGGAAGCACTAGACGGCCGTTTCGTCCTATCATGAGACTCCTCAAGAGTGCGCATCCACGACCACGCCTTGCGGGATTCCAACCCAGGATCTATCAGTCTCACGCCAGGCGCTTAATCGACTAGACCATTGATCTGGCCTCCAACGGTGTTAATGTCTAACTTCAACTAAATATTTGTAGTTTATATTATTAGTCGTAGATTATTCTCAATTGAACTCAATAAACTTTGGTTAACGTTTTCATTCTACTAGGCAACCAACTTCTGAATGATGCATATTCACGATCGTAATAAAGTTATTTTTAAAAAATAAACTTTTATTGATGTAAGTAGTATGTATCATCAATAGAAAGTGAAATGCCTGATGACATCAAAAGGTTAAGAAGATCAAAGTAAAGAGAATGAGAACAGAGAATGATTGTGATATGGAAATGAAGGAACAGTAAAGTCTGAGACGATTGATTGACATTTTGCAATTTTATATTTAAACACATTCGATTGTTCCTACTTATATTCTCGTTCACTACTACAATTACTAGAGAATAGATAACTTATGTACCATTTTATAATGATCATTGTGAGTGAGATCTATTATTTGAGTTTTTCAATGAAGATTTCTAAAGAGTAATCGAAATATTGTAAATGTTCCCTTCTATAATGGTTGCTCTGATTGTCAGAAGAGGCATCAGCCTCGTGACTTATGAGGGAACTGGGCTTTCATCATCAGTCGTCATAACTCTTCCAACTCCCAAGGCGGAGTTTAAATGGTTTGAATTATTTTCTTCTGGTCAGCATATTTTTGGCGAGATAGCCTCCTACAGGATAGAGTTACTAACCCCATTTCCAACCATCCTCCGTCATCTGGGCTTGGGACCGGCAGTAGCTCCGGAGGGGTTCCCGGTGGAGTTGGTCGGCGGTCTCTACTCCAATGGGAGTAATAGGCATAAGTAAGTAAGTTTCTTCTTTTAGTCGGCTGTTTTAATTATGAAAGTTTCATTTTCATTCAGGACAATATCATCAATTCATACTTTATACAGATATGGTGGAATGATTTTAAAACTAATTCATAAATCAATTAACTCAAAATATACAACATAAACTGTAAATCATCCATCCATTCTCCATTATTTCAAAACCTTAGGAATAAGTACGAAGCAACTATCATATACATTTAAATTCTTCATAAGTCTACAAATTGAATGCTAGATTCGGTTCCTAAGCTCTTCTTGTGCCTCCCCCCTCGAGGCTAGATCTACACAACAACTTGAACATAAGAGAAAAGGCATGAGATATGGAAGAAACGCTTCACTCCAAAGATTCCTTTACGTACAGAAAATCTAGAGTTGTTTTAAATAATATTTTAGATATCCTTGAGTTTCCGGAAAATTCTGGTATGCTACTAATCAACCAACCTGAAACTCAACATATGACGTTTCACTCTCTAGAATGTTTCTGGCAACATTGCTAATGAACACAGGTTGGATAAGATGTTTCACAGTGTTTTTAAAGCCTTACTTGACTTTCGTTTCAACCAATACCAAATTCAGAATCTTCAATACCAACGTCAAGGCAGTTCTACTATACGGAGCTGAAACTTGGAGAACTACTACAACCATCATCAAGAAGATACAAGTATTTGTAAATAGTTGTCTACGAAAGATACTCAACATCCATTGGCCGGATACCATCAGCAACAGCCTTCTCTGAGAGAGAACAAACCAATTTCCAGCTGAAGAGGAAAGTAGGAAAAGACGATGGAAATGGATAGAACATACACTACGTAAATCGACAAACTGCATCACGAGACAAGCCCTAACTCGGAATCCTGAAGGGAAACGGAGAAGAGGAAGGTCAAAGAACACTTTACGTCGGGAAATAGAAGTAGATATGGAAAGGATGAATTACAACTGGAAGGAGCTGGAAAGGATTGTCCAGGACAGGGTTGGATGGAGAATGCTGATGAGCGGTCTATGCTCCTTCACGAGGTGTAACAGGCGTAAGTAAGTAAGTGACTTTCGTTTCGAGGAGTTTTCTGAATCTTCAGAAGTAAGATTTTAATAAGTTACTTTAAAATGAACGATTTCTATGAATATCCCCATAGATATTCTTCATTAAATACATGTCTACATTCTTTTCTATTTATTACAGTCCCTATCATACTGAAGTCTCTAAACAACTCAAATCTCATATTCATCCACATTATTGGATACCAGAGAATTATACAGCTTATTCAAAGATGGATAGTAAACAATTCAATATACCACAATCTCAATTATCATTATTACAACCAATCACTAAATCGATTCATTCATATCCATTAGATGATACTGTTGATGGAATTGTACCAGATGTTGAATGTATCAGTGAAAAGTCAGAATTAAGTTCAACAACAATTCAATCAACACCTTATGATCAATCAATAAATATTGATTCAACAATGAATGAATCTGATCCGATTCAATTAAGAGAATCTCCTATGGATTTAAAGAAATTATATTTATTACGACATATTAATCCATTAGATAATAATCAATGGGATAATACAAATTCATATGATGTTAATCAATATCAAATACCGACAGTTTACACTACTGATGACGGACATCATCATGATGATGATGATGATAATGATAATGATGATGTGAATGAAAATGTAGGTCCGGTTATTATCAATCCTACTGATGATATAGATGATGACGATAATGTTTATGAAGATAGTGCAACTTTATATAAACAGTCTATAATTCCAAAGGGTCATCATCACTCGTTGGAACGATACGGATCATTGGTAAGTACTAACTATGAACTACTGGATGCTTTTTGATGGTGTTTTGTTCTCTGAGCTAGATGGTGTGATGATGAAACTTTGTGCTGATGATGTTGTTCAGATGAACCATCTAGCTCAGATGGAACAACACTCCATAAAAATTATCCACCTGAGTTACAAATCTTCATCATCTCACTACTGGATACATACATTAATTCATAACTGAGTAGTAGTTGAATAATGCCATGTTTGTCTAGTGTTCTTAGTATTATTTGAATTGGTAGAATTCGGTCACTGATGGGTTTGTTCATAACATGAAGATTTGCTGCTATCGCTAAGGTACTGTCAGGATAAGAACATATATATATAAATACGTCATTGAGTTGGAGAAAAACAACTGCTCATGAAACGTATAGAGATTACGTCACAATAAAGTCTGTAAACGTGTTTATTCAGTGTAATCCGGCGAAAAAATAAAACCCCGATATCGTAAGATTTGGACTTTCATCATAAACGATTATCAAAGAAAACTCTGTTATCAACCTGTTTTTGTTTTGTTCTACAGAGAATTTACTCAATCAGAGAATGGTCTCCTGTATAACAGGAATGTTTACAAGCATTACTCAATGTAATTACCAGTGTCATACTTGTTTGATTTCCTTGAGTACTGGTCAAACCTTTTCGATCACTAGAGTAAATCAGTATAGTATGTTTAGTTAAACGAACATAACTGATAGAAACGACAGGTTAATAGAATTGTGATCAATCAGCTCAATAGACTAGGCACTTAAAGTTCGTGCTTTGTTTAGTATGTTTATCCTATTTGAAAATTGATACATATTGAAGCATGAGGCCTTCAGTTAAACTTTATTTATATGATCTAGTGTTGCTCTCAGATTACTCGGATTATAGTAAGGGATGTATTTCATGATTTGTAGAGCGAACTGAACTTAATTAGACAGCCGTTGAAAACTAGAAAGCATTGGACAACTTTTAGTCATAATATAGAACTCATCAGCCATCAATATCTGCCCTAGACCTATTCAGGGGTCGAACCCAGAAACAGCAGGTTTCGCGGTAAGGGCTTAGTTCTTAGGTTATTCAGTAAGGGATCAGTGATTCCCATTTATAACTTCAATTAATTTGTGATGTTTCACAACTTTCTGCCAATCCCATTAGTAGCTAACCGACTTACATTTAATGTAGTTGGATCTCACTGATCACTGCTTCTAACTATACCTCTTCAAATTACCTTTTGTAATTAGTCACTAGTGAATACACGATAACTTTTATCGCAAATAGTTTGCAAACAATGTTGGTGGATTACATTTGTCAACTGAATTAAGATTCCATATGTCCAACAAATACCTCAACTTGGAATTCTAAAGGGGAACGGAAAAGAGGAGGGCCAAAGAACACATTACGTCAGGAAATAGAGGCAGATATGAAAAAGGATGAATCACAACTGGAAAGAGCTAGAAAGGATTGTTCAGTAAAAGGTTGAATGGAAAGTGCTAGTGGGCGGCCTATGCTCCTTCACGAAGAGTAACAGGAGTAAGTAAGTAAGTAAGTACTGTCAAACCAGTGTTCCAGAAACTTTACTCTCTATTCATGAAGTTATGTTTTCTGTTTATTCTAGTTGCCAAATCAAAGATTACCTGATGGTAAACGAATTATAATGAATGATCGTTCAACACAATCTCAAACGAAATTATACACTATTCGTAATTCTAATTGCTATCAGAATTTGCCTCAAATACCTACCAGTAAAATGTTATCTTCACCTTCATTTATACATAATGATCATATTTATCAAACAGATGAAGATATTCATTCAATGAATTATGGAAGATTTACATCTGTTGAATATATAAAACCATCCCAAGGAACTTCGTATGGAATACAAGATTCCACATATATAGATCCCCGTGAGATGAATAGAATAAAACAAACAAATTTAGATAATCATAATCAATATATAATGAATAGGACACTTACAGATAATAAACAATTTCGACCATCATCTTCACCATCAACCTCATCATTGACATTATCCTTGTCATCGTCATCATCCGCCGCCTCCTCCTCCTCCTCATCATCATCATCATCAACAACATCAACATCATCATCATTATCTACACCAACATTATCTACAGTATATACAAATTCTATATGTCCAAGTAAATATGTTTCTACACCATTAACAAATGCTAATATATTATGGAGTCAAGAAATGAATCCATTTTCTTTAAGAAATTCAATGTATACAGGATCATTAAAACAATTTCCTAAACAATTTATACAATCTACATATCCAAATTATATGTCATGTAGTTTAACTAGCAAACAATTTCAACATATTTATCCTCCTCCTCCTCATCATCAACATCATCATCATGAACATCTTCATTATCAACGTCATCATCATCAACAACAACAACAACAGCAACCACAACAACGACAGCAACAACAACAACAGCAACAGGACAACAACGACAGCAACAACAACAACTACTACAACGTCAATCATCATATCAACCATTAGTTGTATCAAATTGTTCATTATCTCCATTTAATATGAATCATAATGTTATGAAATATTCTACTATTCCATTAGATAAAACAATATTCATGAAAAGAAGAAGAAGAAGATTGACTACTGATATAGATGTCAAAAATTTCATTTTTACAAATAGTAGTAATAATACTACTACTAGTAATAATAATACTACTACTATGAATATTGATTACGACACTACCGATACTACTACTAATACTACTGATACTACTAATAATGAGAAATGGTTATATAATACAATACAATCGAATGAAATCAATCTATCATCAATGAAATCAAATCGATTAAGTAATTTTCATATCAAAGAAGATGGATTATTCATGAATAAACATCGTCGTTGTATAAGTTGGCCTCATACATTATATGAATCTATACCAAAGATATGCTACAATGAATATAAACATTCTATGATCACTACTAATAGAACTAATGATAGTAATGAATTAAAACAAAAAACATTGAAAAGTTTACCGGTTACATTGAATTCAAATAGAAACGTAATAGATTCATTCATTTCAACAACGAATACATCGAATAAGTTAAATGAGGTAAAGTGTTCAATGAATGAAATGATATTTATATAACTAGAATTAAGTCATTTATTTTGTTAATATGATTGAGAAATGACATTGTTGAATGTTAGTCGAATCAATGGTCTAGTGGTTAAACGCTCATGTACGAGATGGAATCGTGAATGTGCATTGTTGAGGCAGTTCTATACTATTAGGACAAAACAGCCATCCACTGATTCCAGGATTCTCATAGTGATTTAGTTTTAATTGACTCATATATCCAACGGTTAAATTACTTCTATTACTACTACTAATACTACCACTCCAATTTTTGTTCATTTTTCCCATGTCTGTCTCCTTTTCTCGGCGTAATGGGTCGTTTGGCCTTGACGATTCCATGTGAGAGCTTGTCTTGTGACGCAGTTGGATACTTTCCTCAATGTGTATCCTATCAACTCCCAGTGCTACTTCCTGATTTCTTCCTCCACTGGGATCTGGTTTGTTCTCTCCGACAGTAAGTTGTTGCTAATGGTATCTGGTCAACGAATCCGGAGTACTTTGCATAGGCAACTGTTAATAAACAGTTGTATACTCTGGGTGATGGCTTTCGTAGTTCTTCAAGTTCCTGCCCCATACGGTAGAATTGTCTTGACATTTGTATTGAAAATTCTGACCTTGGTATTGGTTGAGAGTTGTTTTGAGTTCCAGATGTTCATCATTTGTAGGCACGTTGCTCTTGCTTTGCTTATCTGCGCCTTCACATCTTCATCGCATCCACTATACTGCTCAGATATGTAAAGGTTATTACATCTTCCAAATCCCCTCCGTCAATTGTGATTGGATTGGTGAATGCTGTGTTGTATCAGAGAATCTTGGTTTTCACTTTATATACTTTGAGACTTACTGCTATTGAGGCTGCTGCCACACTGGTTGTCTTCTCCTACATTTGTTGTTGCGTGTGCGATAGAAGAGTCAGATGATCTGCAAAGTCTGGATTGTCCAGCTTCATCCTAGCTGTACACTGTATCCCATGCTTCCCCTCCTAGCCCAGATGTTGACGTCTTCGAGATCCAGTCGATCATCAGGAGAAAGAGAAAGGGTGAGAGTAAGCAACCTTGCCTGACACCGGTCTTTACATCGAACGGGTCCGTCAATAGTCCTCCGTGCAAGATTTTGCAGTTTAATCCATCATAGGAATTCTGTATGATATTGACTATTTTCTCATTAAAAAGAGATTAGTCATCATTAATTCACTTTAATAATGTAATATGCAACTCAACCATGAAAACTATCATGTTTGATTGTTTTTCATACTTAATTGATATTATTCCTCTCCCATAATAAAAGCTCAGACTTGTTCTAATTCGCTGAAAGCTTCGCTACTTATATTAATCGGTGAGTTTGATCAATGTCCATTGGTAATCTTGTAGTAGTGAACATGAACATAAGTGGGGACAACCGAATGTATATAAACATAACATAACTGAACATCTTAGTAAAATCTGAGATCGAAGAACAGCACCCTTCTCCTCTCCTGATTAGTAGCGACTCCAAATGAAGTGGACGAAACCACGAATGGGGACAATCGAATGTATTTGAACAATACAATAAATACTTCATTAGCAAAACATTAATCCATTGTCTCAAAGTTGACTGTTTCCTTAGCAAATATCAGTCCATCGTCTCAGATTTCATTGTTCTTACATTTTCATGCCAATTGCTTTCTGTTCCCGTTGTTTCCTTCTCGATCTTCTACTGAAATACACTCTATTCCCGACTATCATTCTATACTACTTATGCGGATATAAGTAGCTCACACCACAATATGATCTCTTCAAAGGAATAACTTCATATTATATACCTTTAAAAGTTGCCAATACGTTCGGCACAGTACTTAGACATGAAATTTGGGATAGATTGGTTTCTTGTTTATTTTGTGATATTTACATCGATTTACCCATAATTAATTCAGGGTTGATAGTAGCACTGCATCCAGGCAGTATCTATTATGTAAAAGTATAAGTATATATCGTTATTACTAGTTATTGGAATAGTTGTCATTTACATAGTGAATTCACTTGATTTTTTTAATCAATGAGCGACTCAGCAATTAGAGTAATCAGTAGAGTTCAGCCATGTCAGGTGAGACAGTTGTTCATCTTAGACAGTGGAATACGGTCGCGCCAATATCGTGAATTAATTGAAATTAGTAATATACATCACTAAGTGCTGTCTCAGTGATTAAGAGGTTAATCGCTTGCATATGGAACTGAAGACCGTGAGTTTGATCTCCTGTGGTGGAGTCATGGCTAGGCACTTCTGAAAAGTCTCATACTAGGACAAAACAGCTATCCAATGCTTCTTCTTTAATTTTGTTTGACACGATCGTGCATTCATTGTCATGAATGTTTATTCATGTTTGATTGTCTGTTTCACTATCGATCCATAAAGATTAATGCAAACTACCTAAGCAGAAAAGCACAAGCTGAATACTTACTAATGACTTATTTTTACATGAATGATGTGAACTCCCTCTATTATATGCTCATTTAATAGGATTATTGATTGATTGAGTCCATTAACGAAGAGTACTCATTCCTCCAGTAACATCAATTATCTTCAGTTTTCCTGTTCTGACGCTGATTGGTCGATGTAAATTGCCTCTGTCCCCAACCTGAGCAATTAGAATACCAGAAAAGACAATCCATTTGCTGTTTATAGCTTATGATTTGGAAATTTACATGAGTATATAGATCGATCGCATGATTAGGTGAATTGTGGTAGGAAACTGCTTAACAGATATGTAATTAGTATCAGAAGGGGCTTTGTGGAGATTATAGTAATTTCAGTAGTTGAGATCATGAGTCAGTTGTGAGATAGTAACTCACTGATGACAATGGTGGATATTTCGCTCAATTTTATGGATTAGTTGAAGTTAGACATTAACACCATTGGATGCCAGCTCAGTAATCTAATGGTTAAGCGCTCGCGCGCAAGACTAATAGGTCCTGGGTTGGGATCAATGTGGCGGTTTTGTAGGTTCGTAATGCCAAGGCAGTCTCACAATAGGACGAGATGGCCGTCCAGTGCTCCCAGGTTTTTCATGATGGTCTATCGTTAATTGACTCATGATCTCAACTACTAAGATATGTAATTAACCAAACTGTAATTTATGAATGTTAAGAGAGTTATCAATAGTTAGTAAGTTCAATGAACGAGAAACTTACAATCAAGCCAACATAAGAATATTACATAATGGAAGTGTGGATAAACAACCTGTTCATCCATATTGAACAATGATTATTCTCGAATGTCTATCAAATATCAATGGCTTGTCGAATTCAGTCAGTATAAGACCTGATGACATTTCATGCATCATTGTTTGAATTCAAAAACCCTTAACGGTTCACTTGACTTGATCTCATTCAGACATTTAAAGTCGAATTTCGTATTGAGATCATAGCTAAGTGGTAGTATAGTGAAGGAAAACACTTGCGAGGACAACCAAGCGTATTTGAACACATAATTACAGAATCACTTAGTCATATTTGAGAACCATATTGTAAATAGTTCATTTGCAAAATGTCAAACAATCATTCCGGACTTCATTGCTCTTTCATTTCCACATCAATCATTCTCTATTCTCGTTCTTTTCTCTTCAATCTTCTTAACCTTTTACCACCAGGCATTTCACTTTTGTGTGATGATACATACTACTTATATCTGTTGACATCACTAGCACACACCAAAGTAACATTGAGAAGTTTCTAAAGGGAATGAAACTGTCTCACACACACATACACACACACTCTCTCTCGCTCTCTCTCCATATGTACAAACAAATGTATGCCATGAAATCTATTGGAATGTATGTGTAAACTTTCACTCTCATATGTAAATGAAAATCTGTTCAGTAGTAAATTTACAATACAGGGAAGACAGACTAACATGATGATTTACTTATGTACGTTTATTACTCCTCGTCGAGGAGCATAAGCCGCTCACCAGCATTCTCCATCCAACTTTGTCCCAAGAAATCCTATCGATGTCTTCTTCAAATTCTTGGTGTAGTGTGTTTTTTGGCCTCCATCTTTTTATTTCACTTCAGGATTCCAGGGAACCATTTGCCTCATGATACAGTTTGATGATTTCCTTAAAATATGTCCCATCCACCTCAAGCGTCTCTTTCTAATTTTCCCTTTAACTGGAAACTGATTTGTCCTCTCCCACGGTAGGTTATTGCTGATGGTATCCTGTCAACGGACATTGAGTATCTTGCGTAGACAACTATTTATAAATACTTATACATTATTGATGATGGTTGTAGCAGCTCTTCGCGTTTCAGCTTCACATTGTAGAACTATCTTGACGTTTATACTGTAGATTCTTACTTTTCATGTTGGTTGATAGTTGTTTTGAGTTCCATATGTTCTTCAACTGTAGAAATGCTGTCCTTATTTTGCCAATCCTTAAGTTTACGTCTGCATCAGATCGTCCACGTTCATCGATGATACTTCTCAAGTACTTGAAAGATTTCACATCTTCCAGAACTTCTCCATCCAGTGTGATTGTGTTGCTATTTTTTCCGTTTTGTATTTGAAGATCTTTCTTTTTCCTCTTGTATATGTTGAGGCAGACAAAAGCTTCTGCTACACTAGTTTTCTTCATCTGCATTTGTTCGTGTGTGTGTGTATGAGATAGAAGAGCTCAGTCATCGGAGCATTCCAAATCTTCTAATTGATTCCGAAACTGTTCATTGTATTATCATAGTTGCTAGATTATTCAAATGATAATCCCCTTGTGATTGAATCTGTTGTAGTGTATGAATTTACTTCAATCCCCTAGCGACTTGTATACATACATCATGATAGAATGATATGTTTTGTTATTTATTCTAGGCAATATTAGTTATACATAGGTCCGATTTACCTATTCACATATTGTATGTTTATCATTTCTTTTAAGGTTAAAGACATTGTTTTTTTTCAATTATTAAGTCATTACTACATTGAGATGTTGTTACCCCCTAGTGATAATCCTATGGGTATTATCAATTTATTTATGTACAATAATTACTAACCGAATTCAAACGTATTTTTTTAAATTTTTCATCGAGACTTAGTTGTGTGTGTGGGGGGGCGGAGGAGAGGCTACAGGGTAAGAAAATGATCAATGAAATGACTTGGCTATACTATTAAGCTCTATCAACCCCTATATGATATCTTAATCATTATTTTTCTGGTTAGCGTTTTTTTAGCGAGTTAGTTTTCTACGGGATGGGGACGCTAACCCCATGCCCAACCCTCCTCCTTTATCCGGGCTTGGGACCGGCAGTAGCCCCCGGAGGGACTCCAGGCGGAGTTCTTAATCATTATTATTATTATTCTATCAATAGTTTCTTTTAATCTCTATCTAGACATCAATAATTCTATTGCCTGAATCGAATCACATGAGACAAAAACAAACTTAGCCATCTACTATTGTTCTTGTAAATTAAATTAATTCTTTGTTAGGTAAATTCAAATGATGATGTCAAACTAAATGTATCATATTTCTCTCTTAGATGTTAAACTAAAGAAGAGGCTAAGTGTTCTTTTTTTGTAAGCTTAGAATATAATCAGTAGTTGGATTCATGAGTCCATTGAAGCTAGACCATCATGAAAAACTTGGAAGCACTGAATGGTTGTTTCGTCCTAGTATGGGACTGCCTCAACTGTGCCCAGGACTTATCTGATTGAACGGTGGAGCAATGTCGTGGATTGTTTGAAGTTGGACATTAATAATGTCGGATACCGGCTGACTCAGTGGTCTAGTGGTTAAGCGCTGGCGTGCGAGACTGATAGGTTCTGGGTTTGTATCTCACGAGGCGGGATCGTGGATGTGCACTGCCACTGAGGAGTCCCATACTAGCACGAAAAGGAAGTTCAGTGTTTCTAAGTTTCCTACAGTGGTTTAGCTTCAATTGACTCATGAATTCAATTATTAAATTACTATAATATTCACAAAAGCTCTTCTCTGATTACTTTGTTTCTTTTGGTTGTTAATCAATCGTCTTAGACTTGACTGTCCCTTTGTTTCCACTCCAGTCATTCTTTGTTCTCATTTTCTTTTCTTCAATCTTCTTAACCTTTTGCCATCAAGCATTTCACTTTCCATTGATGATACGTACTACTTATATCTGACACTATCAGTAGCACATACCACAATATGTTTGTATTTCAACTAATTAAGCTACGAATAGTGTATCCCATTCCTTAGAAGTACGAACCATTTGAACGATTTTTAATTGGTCCAATGTATCACTCATGAAAAGTGGTGAAGTACCTTTATTTAATTTAAACTTATAACTTACATAAGTGAGATCATAGTTTTTGAACAATATTTGAGCAACCCCCCAAATGACTTTAAAAAAATTCACCTACCTACTACAGTCTAAAAATAAAACTATAAAATAGCGTCAGAACACACAACAGGGATTTTGAGTTGGAAATCAGGGTTAAGAATTAGAGTTAGGGTTTACATCACAAATCTACGTCTACTATAATTTCACTGGTTGAAATCATGAGTCAATTAAAGCTGAACCACCACGGAAAACCTGGAAGCACTGGACGGCCGTTTCGTCCTAGTATTGGACTCCTCAGCAGCAGCAGCCATATGGACGAATGAATTTCGCGCCGAAATCCAAGAGTCATTATATGATATACGAAAAAGTGCCATAAAATTAATTATATTTTGGATGCTTATTAAATATGTACGGGAAACAACATCTATCCAAGTTTTATATTTCCCTTTTTTTGGATACTATACATAGTCTATGGATATTATTGAGTTCTATAGTCATAATTACAGACTAATCTTAGTTAAACGGACGTTGAAAATCATGAAGCATTCGGTAGTTGTTTCATCCAAATGTAAGTCATTACTACAGTGTATATTCATGATCACTCTAGTGATAGAATCTGGGACATTCTAGTCTAACCTTTAGATTACTTAGCCAGCAACCGCTAGTTTAAATGTTTAAGTTTAACCAGCCATACTTCATTGTTATTGGTCTATAACTACTATACAATCAATATGATTGAACACTCTTATCTTAATATTCATAATCAATATATGTTTGTTTGTTTTCTTTCTTTATAGACTTATTTTTCATATAATAATCCATGGTACTCATTAACTTTAATGAATACAGTCATATTAATATTGGTACTTATTATTTCATTAATCAATTGGTTATGGTATGAAGAGAAACGAAGAAAATCGAATATACCTTCTTGAAGTAATCAAGTTCATGATGATGCCGATGTTGACGGTGATGACAATGATAATCAAAGACGGTGACAATAATGATGACCATTGACAAGAGATAATACAAAACATTTTCTTGCATTTCGTCTAATCATTATTATTATTATTATTATTATTATATTGTCAAGATTCTTATTCATTTCCATATTTTCTCGAATATTATGGGTAGACCTATTTGTATTGAAGGTATTCAATGAATTCTTGAAGTAGTACATCAAGTTCATTGAAATGAAAACTACTTGATTCCATCGATATTATACATTCTTACTTCACTCATTTTTCTCTTATTGTACTCTAATTTTTTCTAAACAATCTTTTATTAGATTTATGATAAAGATCTAATTATATATGTAAAGAAAGAAAACATGAATTGAAAAGTTTCATGTATTAATTATGAATTATTCAATTAATTTATGTTGTTCTGTTTTACTGAAAAGTCGAAAATCAATTATTTTGTTCATTTGTAATTTGTCTACTGTAATTAAAATAAGTAGTTTGAGTTGAAAAGTAGAAAATCGAGGCCAGCTAATCAATTATGCACAGTAAGATAAGATTATTAAAACAAATGTCAGAATAGTAGAAGTGATAGAAGAAATCAAGTGTATAAACTTGAAAAGATGAATTTATGTACTAAGTAAGTGTAAGGTTATTTAAAAACACAAGATCTAATAGAAGACAATAAAATAATAGATCTATACCATTAAGAATAAATTAACATTCAGTTGATGATCTCACTGAATTCCTATGTCATTACATACTCTTACGTTTCCTAAACCATTTATAACATCAAAGTGTCTGTTGTTTGAACAATACGGTAAATATTAATCTTCAAACAATAGGACGTCAGCATGAAACTAAAGTTTTTAATTTACTCTTACAATTACAGTAAGAAACCATGAATAATAGAGTTTTTGGTGAAATAGAAGTTTGACAGCTGTAAACCAATCGTAATAAAAGATTTAACATTATTTCGACGAATAAATGAAGTGAATAAGACGTCTCAATGACTTTCAATTCCCTGGTTTATAAATAACTTATGTTAGATCCTTGTCAATGTCTTTGTTACTTACTGTTGAAGCCATGAATAATAATAATAATAATAATCATATGACAGAACAAAACAGCTACCTAATTTATGGATGCTTGAGGTTTAATTAGTAGAACAAAAAGCTTTATTATTGAAGTAATCCGAACAAGGCTACATTTCAGAGGACCTCATTTAGGTGAATAATTCACTCTTCAAAATAGTTCGTCCATACTTGAATATCTCCCTAACTATGAGGCTTTGAGATAGATTGTGATCTGATTAAAATCCCTCCCCTCCACATATTACAATACCGATTTCTTTTCCTCAGGTAACATGATGCTATAATGCAAGTTTATGGTTGTAAGGAACTCAACTTGGGGTAGGTTTCATGATTGTTGTTTACGCCTGTTACTACTAATGGAGCATAGGCCGCCGACCAGCATTCTCCAACCCACTCTGTCCTCCGCCTTCCTATCTACTTCCATTCAATTTTTGTTCATTTTTCTCATGTCTATCTCCATTTCGTGGCGTATTGTGTCCTTTAGTCTCCGTTTTACCTTTGGCTTTGAGGATTCCATGTGAGGGCTTGTCTTGTGATGCAGTTGGGTGCTTTCCTCGAAGCGAGAAAAGTAGTTTCCATAGATATAGAGAGTTCATTATTTGCGTGTGAGCTGCGATACTTCCCGGTTGCCCAGACCGAAGCAGGTGGTTATCTTAGGGGGCCACACCCCGAGCCTTTGACCTAAACGTCTAACCCACAAGGCAGTGGAGCATCGTAAAGAGATGCAGTTCCATGGTAACCAGTGACCAACGATTGGTTCATACGCCATTTGTTCCCGCAGGATACTAGAGCCCATGTGTACCATTGGTTTGGGGTCCGGTTAAAGCGCTGGACATTCGCTTTTCGTCCTCTCGTTTTCGTAAACAACAGTAATGCCACGAGAAGACAATGAGTAGGACTTCCCTGTCAGATGCTGTATACACGTGGTCGTGTGAGAGTATTTCTAGAGGGAGAGCCGACTCTTCCCACTCTCGGCCATACCAGGGCATTTGGGGGCGGTGCTTTCCTCAATGTGTGTCCTATCCATTTCCAACGCTTCTTCCTAATTTCTTCCTCTGCTAGGATCTGGTTTGTTCTTTCATGATTGTTGACACTATTTAATAAAGTATTGGAGCCCATCATCGAACTCATACAATCTAATCACACTGAATTATAACCAGTATCTAACAGATTGATAGAAAATTATGAACCAAGATTAATCGAGTATAAATTTTGTATATAATTACTCAATCTAACATGGATTACTCTATAAGGGATTCAGACATGATCTTTAAGTGGAAAGAAAGAAAGAAAAAAGCTTCAATTTGAATAAAGTAAACTAAATTGGAAATTCATGTTGTCTACAAAATACAAAAAAAAACCCATTACATAATGGAATTTTCAAATAAATGTAAATTTTTTAACAAAACAATTAGTGATAGTGTAATGAATGAGAATATCAGTGGGGTGACAACTAAATGTAGTTGAATAAAAACATTACTAGATCTCTTAATAAATTTTTATTCATTATTTTAACACATAGATATTGGTACAAGGAGGCACCAAATACATATACGCCACACAGTTCTCATTTGATATGTGTGAGGGATGTGATACTACTGACCGGGTGCCAAAACCGAATCAGGTGGTTTTCTTAGGGGGCTATACCCGGAGCCTTCGACCTGAAGGTCTGATCCACAAGGTAGTGGAGCATCGTAAGGAGATGTAGTCCCATGGTAGCCGGTGACCAACAATTTGTTCATACACCATTTGTCCCTTCAGGGTCCTGGAGCCATTGATTTGGAATCAGGACTTTCCAACTCCCCTAGGTGGACTCTTCATGTCCACCAACCCGGTTAAAGCGTTGGACATTCGCTTTTCGTACTCTCAATTTCGTAAACAACACCCCCATCACGAGAAGGCAGTGAGTAGGACTTCCCTGACAGTGGCTGTGTACGCGTGGCCATGAGAGAGCATGTGGAGAGTGAGAGCGGAATCTCCCCACTCTCGGCCGTACCAGGGCATTTGGGTGCTTTTAATAAAATCTGAGAATCATACTTTATTTACGAAATGTCAATCCATTGTCTCAAACATCATTTTTCTTTCATTTCCACATCAATCATTCTTTGTTCTCATCCTCTTCTCTTTGATCCTCTTAATCTTTTGCTGCCAGATATTTTACTTTTGATTGATGATACGTATTACTTATCAGTATAGGGTTGTGAAGATGAATAAGTTTTTGATTGAGATCATGAACTGATCGATATTAGACCACTATTGAAAACCTGGAAGCACTGGATGACCGTTTGGTTCTATTATGGGACTCATCAGTAGTGCACATCCACCATCTAAACATATGCTCACTAGTGATTTGATTCGTGAAGGAATTCTTAAGAGTTGTAGTGAGAAGCTGTAACCAGTGGAGCTAATCTGTAACGAGTAGAGACAGAACAAATAAAACTGATAACTTGTTGAAATATCCAGATGGCAGGAACAGGTAGCCCAGATATTCAAGAGGGCCGCCTTGGATGTTTCTATTTGATACAGGATTAAATTCAATTGTTTATTGCTTCAGTACTAAGATGATAGTCGATGGGTAATTATTATCAATTTCCAAAGGTGTTTGTATACTGTAAATTTTATAATTTGAAGATTTCATTATCTGTCTAAACAAAATTATCAACATATACTTAATATAGAAACGGACTCCAAAATGCCCTGGTACGGCCGAGAGTAGGGAAAGTCAGCTTTCCCTCTCCAAATGCTCTCACATGGCCACATGCATACAACTATTGCCAGAGAAGCCCTACTCACTGCCTTCTCGCAGCATTACTGTTGTTTACGAAATTGAGAGGACGAAGAGCGAATGTCCAACGCTTTAACCGGTTTGATGGAGTTGAAAAACCCTCATTCCAAACCAGTGGTCAATATAGGATCCCGTATCCTAAGGGAACAAATGTCATATGAACCCATTCTTAGTCACCGGTTACTATGGGACTGTATCTTCTAATGTTGCTCTACTGCAATGTGGATCAAAGATTTAGGTCGAAGGCTCTGGTTGTGGTCATCTAAGTAAACCACCGGTTTCGGTCTGGGAACCCGGACATTATCCAAGCCCACATACAAATCAAGTGACATGTGTGGTGCATATATATTTGGTGCCTTCTTGTACCTAAGTTTATGTGTTTAAATAAATATAGAAATGAGCTATTAACTTTGCTTCACAAGTGATTCGATAGTTTGGTGTCTGTAACCATGGTGTCATTGTCTATTCGATTTGATTGTCTTGTTTTTCTTCTTCTATAAATGGTATGATTATAATCTATTGATTATATTTCATGTAACATAAATTAATCAGTCTTTACTCAACTGACTACACTGATTATAATATTGGTCAAATGAAAAATTGTTTGGCTTATATAGAATCTGTCACCTTAGTTAAATGATAATGTACTCATTATGTAATATTTATTGATTTATTTGAACACATAACCATTGTTTCAAGGAGACACTAAACAGATATGCGCCACATAAATCATACGATTTACGTGAGGGCTGGAATATTGTCCGGGTTCTCAAACCGAAGTACGTAGTTTTCTTAGAGAGCCATTCCCCGAGACTTTGACCTAAAGGTCTATTCCACAAGGCAGTGGAGCGACGTAAGGTTATTCATTCCCATGATAGCTGGTGACCAACAACAGGTTCACACGCCATTTGTTTCCCTAGGATCCTGGAGCTCATGTACATCAAGATTTTCCGACCTTCTTAGGTATATCCTTCACATTCAATAACTCGTTTAAAACGTCGTACATTCACTTTTCGAGCTCTTAACTTTGTAAGCAACACCCCGCCGCGAGAAGGCAGTGACTAGGACTTTCCTAGTAGTGGCTAGATAGGCTTGGC